AATTTTTGGGTCCCTGTTTTTCCCCCTCACTTTGATCTTTTTTTGTTTTTATCGTGTGGCAAAAGGCCCAGTAATTTAAAAAACGGTTTTTGGGACTTTTAAAAAAAAAATAAAGAATTTTTGGTTTTCCCCCCCCAATTTTTTTTAAAAAAAAAAATATTTGTTACATCGTAGGTTTTTCACTGACTGAAATACCACTGATTAATGCTAGGGGTTATTGGGACCCCTTTAAAAACACAAAAGGGTTTTCGGAGTCGTGTTCCCCCGCCCGCCCCCCAAACCCGGGGTGGTGTATGGTGTGTGTAGTATGTTGTGTGTATTTTGGGGGTGTGTTTTGTTTTTGTGTGGGTTTTTGTGGTGTGTGTGTGGTGTGTGTGGGGGGTGTGTGTTTGTGTGTGTGTGTGTGTGTTTTGTGTGGGTGTGGTGTGTGTGTGTGTGTGTGGCATGTGTGTGTGTGTGTGTATTGGTATTGATCAAAACAACACTGTGACTAGCCAAGGAATCGAACCCATTCTGCTTTGGCCCTCCTCATGGTGGGCGAAAACTCATCGGACTAAGGCGTCATGAGTTTTCGCCCATCATGAGGCGGGCCAAAGCAGCATGGGTTCGACTCCTTGGCTAGTCGCAGTGTTGTTATTGATCAATAGCATTTGTTCGTGGGTACAATAATATAATATACTGCTTGTTGTACTAGCACACAAAACAGGGAGTAGAATGAAATTAGCCTAATGTTATGAATGGAAAGAGTTGGATGTCCTGGCCCTAAGGAAAACAAAGCTGAAAGGGGAGGGGGAGTTTCAGTGGGGATAAATAAATGGGATTAAGTCAGGAGTATTGGAGAGAATTAGAACTAAGGAAGGGGTAGCAACAATGTTGAAGGATCAGTTAGAGAGAGAGAAGAGAGAGTGTAAATGTATAAATTCAAGGTTTATGTGGATTAAAATAAGGGTCGGATGCAAAAACTGGGTCATGCACCTGGAGAAGAGAGGAGTGTAAAGAAGAGAGAGAGATTTTGGGAGATGTTAAGCGAGTGTGTAGGATCTTTTTTAGCCATGTGAGAGAGTAATTGCGGTAGGGGACCAAAATACTAAAGTAGGAGAATTTAGAGAGGTTGTGGTAGGTAAGTTTGAGATGCCAGGCGTAAATGATAATGGGGAGCATTTTATTAAATTTTGTATAGAAAGGAGTTTGGTTATAGGTAATACATATTTTAAGAAAAAGAGGATAAATAAGTACACAAGATATAATATAAGGAGTAATGGCAATAGTTTGTCAGACTTCGTATTGGTAGATAAAAGACCGTTGGGAAGACTTCAGAATGTACATGTAGATGTGATACAAGGAAAATGGAAGCAGCAAGTAAGGTGAAGATTTATAAACTAAAGGAGGAAGCAGTTAGGGTAAGATTTAAACAACTGTTAGAGGACAGATGGGCTGGTGAGAATACAGGCACTGGAGTAGAAGATGTATGGGATAAGTTTAAGAATATAGTGTTACAGTGTTAAGCAGAAGTTTGTGGTTACAGGAAAGTGGGTGTGGGAGGGAAGAAGAGTGATTGGTGGAATGATGATGTAAAGAGAGTAGTAAGGGAAAAAAAAAAGTTAGCATATGAGAGATTTTTACAAAGCAGAAGTGATGCAAAGAAGGAGGAGTATGGGGAGATGAAAAGAGAGGTTAAAAGAGTGGTGAAGCAATATAAGAAGAGAGCAAATGAGAGTGAGTGAAATGTTATCAACAAATTTTCTTGAAAATAAGAAAAATTTTTGGAGTGAAATTAATAAGTTGAGAAAGGCTAGGGAACAAATGGATTTGTTAGTTAAAAATAAGAGAGGAACGTTATTAAATGGAGAGTTAGAGGTATTGGTAAGATGGAGGGGATATTCTGAGGAATTGTTAAATGTTGATGAAGACAGGGAAGCTGTGATTTCATGTATAGGGCAAGGAAGAATAGCATCTTGCAGGAGTGAGGAAGAGCCAGTTGTGAGTGTGGGGGAAGTTCATGAGGCAGCGGGTAAAATGAAAGGGGTTAAAGCAGCTGGGATTGATGGGATAAAGATAGAAATGTTAAAAGCAAGAGGGGCTATAGTTTCGTAGTGGTTAGTGTTTTTGTTTAATAAATGCATGGAAGAGTGAAAGGTACCTAGTGATGGGCAGAGAGCATGCATAGTTTCTTTGTATAAAGGCAAAGGGGACAAAAGATAGTTTAAAAAATTTAGGGTAATAAGCCTGTTGAGTATATCTGGTAAAGTGTATGGTAGAGTTATTATTGAAAGAATTAAGAGTAAGATGGAGAGCAGATGAACAGGGATAGCAGATGAACAAGGATAGCAGATGAACAAGGATAGCAGATGAACAAGGAGGTTTTAGGTAGAGTAGGGGGTGTGTAGATCAAGTATTTGCAGTGAAACATATAGATGAACAGTATATAGATAAGAGTAAAGAGATTTTTGTGGCATTTATGGATTTAGAAAAGGGGTATGATAGGGTGGATAAGGGGGCAATGTGGCAAATGTTGTAAATATATGTAATAGAATGTAGGTTATTGAAAATAGTGAAGAGTCTTTACGAGGATAGTGAGGCTCAGGTTAGAGTATGTTGGACAGAGGGAGATTTTTTCCCAGTAAAAGTAGGCCTTAGACGGGGATGTGTGATGTCACCATAGTTGTTCAATATATTTATAGATGGAGTTGTAAGAGAAGTGAATGCTCGGGTGTTGGTAAGAGGTGTGGGGTTAAGAAGAATCTAACACAAAGTGGTAGTTGTCACAGTTGCTCTTTGCTGATGAGAGTTTTTGGGAGATTCTAAAGAGAAGCTGCAGAGGATGATGGAAGAGTTTGGTGGGGTATGTAAAGGAAGAAAATTAAAAGTGAACATAGGAAACAGTAAGGTGATAAGGACAACAAAAATAATAGGAAAATGAAGATTGGATATCACATTGGAGGAAGAGAGTATGAAGGAGGTGAATATATTCAGATATTTGGGAGTGGACTTGTCAGCAGATGGGTCTATGAATTATGAGGTGAATCATAGAATTGACTAGGGGAAAAAGCTGAGTGGTGCACTGAGGAGTCTGTGGAAACAAAGAACTTTATCCATGAAAACAAAGAGGGGAATGTATGAGAGTATAGTTATTCCAACGCTCTTGTATGGGTGTGAGGCATGGGCTGTGAATGTTGCAACAAGAAGAAGGCTGGAGGCAATGGAGATGTCATGTCTGAGGGCAATGTGTGGTGTGAATATAATGCAGAGAATCCTTAATTTGGAGATTAGGAGGAGGTGTGGGATTACCAAAACTGTTATCCAGAGGGCTGCTGAGTGGATATTGAGATGGTTTGGTCATGTAGAGAGGATGGAACGAAATATAATGACTTCGAGAATGTATAACTCTGTAGTGGAGGGAAGGCAAGGTAGGGGTCGGCGTAGGAAAGGTTGGAGGGAGGGGGTTAATGGAGGTTTTGTGTGCGAGGGGCTTGGACTTCCAGCAAGCATACGTGAATGTGTTAGATAGGAGCAAATGGAGATAAACGGTTTTTAGGATTTGACATGCTGTTGGAGTGTAAACAAGGTAACATTTATGAAAGGATTCAGGGAAACCAGTAGGCCAGACTTGGTTCCTGGTGATGGGAAGTACAGTGTCTGCACTCTGAAGGATGGGTGTTAATGTTGCAGTTTTATAACTGTAGTGTAAGCGTGATTCTGGCAAGACTGATGGAGTGAATGATGAAAGTTTTTCAATTTCTGGCCACCCTGCCTTGGTGGGAAATGGCCGATGTGTTAATAAGTAAAAAGAAAATATAAAATATTTATTTATTTTCCTATTTCTAAAGATAAATTATTTGCTGTATTATATTTTACATTCATTCCTCAATTTCTGTATGTATATTCTTGTCTCAAACCCGCCATGACAACAGGAGGCATTCACAGTGTATCCGAGAAAGTGGAGTGTAAGTCTGGTTTCTTGAATGACTGGTCCATCACGAAGGCCTTTCTTAAGATGTGTATATAGTGTTAATTTGAGAGAAAAAATCCTATATGAGACAACTACGTGGAAAAAATGGTACTCTACATATCGTGACGTTCAACTGAGGTCCTCTTCATTCTTCCTTGTTTGTGTCTGGTGTTGTGACCTTCAACTGGGGTCCTCTTCATTTTTCCTTGTTTGTGTCTAGTATTGGATTTTCTGTCTCACTGATCAGTGTTTATTATACTTTGCTGCACTAACATAATGCAAATTTTATTTTACTTGCAAGCACTTCGTTTCAGGTGTGTTTACTGCCTCTCACCAGGCCTATTATATATTGAGAGTGAAGAGCATGAAGTGGCCAAAAGAGACAAAAACACAAGCAACAAATAATGTTTACACTTCTCAGATGCATTGTGCCACTCACACTCATTGTATCTTATACAATATGTGAATTTTAAAAGTAACACTTCTGGTTACCGTACTAATAATAAAGAGTAGTTGACTGATTATTATATTTGTGATGAACAGAGATGAGATTGCTTTACCGTGGATGTAACAATGACAATTCTGTATCTAATAGATTTTGTTCTAGTAAGTAAGTAAGTAAATTTATTCAGGTATACACAATACAGTTACATAGAACTATCATACATAGCAGCATATGTGTAGAGAACCTAGGATAACCCAAAAAAGTCAGACAGAGTGACTTATTTCCGAATATCGTTAAATCGAGGTTCATTAAAGCCAAGGGCTTACTGAATGTAAATTTTATTATATTTAATTAGTTTAACTATTAATTAAATTATAGACACTCTTATTATATTTTGTAACATTTTATAGCCGCTCTCTTAAATTTACTAAAAAAATACTTAATTACAGAATACTGTTTAAATATTCTAACACATTATGGATTTATTCCTAAATTTTGTACCCTTAATTTATCTGTTTAACAGTATTTAGATTTAACACGACACATAATGCAACAATTGATTTGCCACCTTATTGATTAATCCATATACGAAATGAAGTAACTTACCGTAACAACACTGACAGCAAGAGCAAGGTCAACAGTGGTGAAGGTGGGTGGACTAGCCCAGGCAAGGTGGCCGTGACGACCTCTCTCACTAACAATAGTGTGGAAAATACCCAGACCATGAAGCAAGCGATATGTTGCCGCCTCTTCCTCGTCCTCCTGAAACATATTATTATTTTTATTATTATCATCATTGTTATTGCCAGCAGTCTCCCAAAGAGAAAGGCTGGCACAAAATAAAGGAAACATATTCACCCTCATTCATCAACAGCAGTCTTGCCAAAAGTGTGTTGACATCACATTTCATATGTCCCTCCCAACTGTAACATCCCAGTCCCTTCTTCAGAGTGAAGGAACTGTACCTCTCATCTCCAAGAGGAAAAGCTAAGCTTAGAAAACTAACACAGCGACCACAACAACAAAAGGACATTTGACTCCATATCATATTAATAATAATAATGATAATGATGTTAATAATAATAATAATAATAATAATAATAATAATAATAATAATAATAATAATAATAATCATTATTTCTATAAGTATATGTTGCAGTTTATATCAAATGAATTGTGATGTCTGTGAACTTCTATCAAAATAGCTATTGAGTGATGACGTGTTTCCATCTTTGTGTCGCCTTGTATTGGTAGGAGATAACTGATGTTAACTGAAATAATATTAATCAAAGCATTCTGATGCAGAGTGACTGTATAAAATAGTATAGAATTATTCGCAGAGTTGTGTGAATATATTACATTACAAATATCAAGAGATTTATTTATTAATCAATGATATATTAATATTTTATTACATACCTTTATTAGCAAGGAAAAGTTTTAAGTTCTAGACTGTCAAAAATTATATTTAAATAAAAATGGGCTTCTCAAAAAGTGCACAAAAAATATCTAAATATTATAACAGTATAAATATTTGATTACGTAAGGTCTAATGATGACAGTTAAAGTTATGCTAATCGAAAAGGCTCGTGTAGCAAACACAACTTTTTGTTTCAATACACCTATGCAAGGGTTTATCAAGTACTGTAGAGGTAGGGATAAATGGTATAAAATACCAATATCATGGATGACACAGATGCAGAATTTTGAGATCTACTGAGCTGAACTTGATAAGCTTCATGTTGGTAAAATCTGCATAATAAATAGGTCTCTTCTGTCTTTGTTAGGCAATGAAATTGAGAATGAACTGTATATGTAAGATTCAGGAAAATTACCTCAACTTCAAACTGTAAGTGAGAGGCATGACGGGTAACAATAGCGATGGCTTCCTGTAGTGCATGATGTGCGTCTCCAGGACTGTCTACATACACCTTCTCAACACCACGTAGCAACGACACTGGGAACTGGTGAAAAATATAAAATAATCATCTTTCAAAAGCCTCATAATTACTATTGCGACCTCAGAGAAAACACAGTAAATATTTTGTATATATATTTTATTCAAATAATTTTATATTGCTGATGTGTTCATTTTTTTTTTTTTTTTTTTTTTTTTTTTTTTTTTTTTTCAACAAGTCGGCCGTCTCCCACCGAGGCAGGGTGACCCAAAAAAGAAAGAAAATCCCCAAAAAGAAAAAACTTTCATCATCATTCAACACTTTCACCACACTCGCACATTATCACTGTTTTTGCAGAGGTGCTCAGAATACAACAGTCTAGAAGCATACACATATAAAGATACACAACATATCCCTCCAAACTGCCAATATCCCAAACCCCTCCTTTAAAGTGCAGGCATTGTACTTCCCATTTCCAGGACTCAAGTCCGACTATATGAAAATAACCGGTTTCCCTGAATCCCTTCACTAAATATTACCCTGCTCACACTCCAACAGATCGTCAGGTCCCAAGTACCATTCGTCTCCATTCACTCCTATCTAACACGCTCACGCACGCTTGCTGGAAGTCCAAGCCCCTCGCCCACAAAACCTCCTTTACCCCTTCTCTCCAACCCTTTCGAGGACGACCCCTACCCCGCCTTCCTTCCCCTATAGATTTATATGCTTTCCATGTCATTCTACTTTGATCCATTCTCTCTAAATGACCAAACCACCTCAACAACCCCTCTTCTGCCCTCTCACTAATACTTTTATTAACTCCACACCTTCTCCTAATTTCCAAACTCCGAATTTTCTGCATAATATTTACACCACACATTGCCCTTAAACAGGACATCTCCACTGCCTCCAAACGTCTCCTCGCTGTTGCATTTACCACCCAAGCTTCACACCCATATAAAAGTGTTGGCACTACTATACTTTCATACATTCCCTTCTTTGCCTCCATAGATAACGTTTTTTGACTCCACATATACCTCAATGCACCACTCACCTTTTTTCCCTCATCAATTCTATGATTAACCTCATCCTTCATAAATCCATCCGCCGACATGTCAACTCCCAAGTATCTGAAAACATTCACTTCTTCCATACTCCTCCTCTCCAATTTGATATCCAATTTTTCTTTATCTAAATCATTTGACACCCTCATCACCTTACTCTTTTCTATGTTCACTTTCAGCTTTCTACCTTTACACACATTCCCAAACTCATCCACTAACCTTTGCAATTTTTCTTTAGAATCTCCCATAAGCACAGTATCATCAGCAAAATGTAACTGTGTCAATTCCCATTTTGAATTTGATTCCCCAAAATTTAATCCCACCCCTCTCCCGAACACCCTAGCATTTACTTCCTTTACAACCCCATCTATAAATATATTAAACAACCATGGTGACATTACACATCCCTGTCTAAGACCTACTTTTACCGGGAAATAGTCTCCCTCTCTTCTAAACACCCTAACCTGAGCTTCACTATCCTCATAAAAACTCTTTACAGCATTTAATAACTTACCACCTATTCCATATACTTGCAACATCTGCCACATTGCTCCTCTATCCACTCTATCATATGCCTTTTCTAAATCCATAAATGCAATAAAAACTTCCCTACCTTTATCTAAATACTGTTCACATATATGCTTCAATGTAAACACTTCATCTACACATCCCCTACCCACTCTGAAACCTCCTTGCTCATCCGCAATCCTACATTCTGTCTTACCTCTAATTCTTTCAATTATAACCCTACCGTACACTTTTCCTGGTATACTCAGTAAGCTTATTCCTCTATAATTTTTACAGTCTCTTTTGTCCCCTTTCCCTTTATATAAAGGGACTATACATGCTCTCCGCCAATCCCTAGGTACCTTCCCCTCTTTCATACATTTATTGAGCAAAAGTACCAACCACTCCAACACTATATCCCCCCCTGCTTTTAACATTCTGTCATAATCCCATCAGTTCCAGCTACTTTACCCCCTTCATTTTACGTAATGCCTCACGTACCTCCCCCACACTTACATTCTGCTCTTCTTCACTCCTAAAAGATGGTATACCTCCCTGACCAGTGCATGAAATTACTGCCTCTGTTTCTTCCTTAACATTTAAAAGTTCCTCAAAATATTCTCGCCATCTACCTAATACCTCCATCTCCCCATCTACTAACTCCCCTACTCTGTTTTTTAAACTGACAAATCCATATTTTCCCTTGGCTTTCTTAACTTGTTTAAACTCACTTCCAAATTTTTTCTTATTTTCATTAAAATTTCTTGACAGTGCCTCTCCCACTCTATCATCTGCTCTCCTTTTGCACTCTCTCACCACTCTCTTTACCTTTCTTTTACTCTTCCATTAATTCTGCTCTTCTTATAACACTTCTGCTTTGTAAAAACCTCTCATAAGCTACCTTTTTCTCTTTTATCACACCCTTTACTTCATCATTCCATCAATCACTCCTCTTTCCTCCTGCACCCACCCTCCTATAACCACAAACTTCTGCCCCACATTCTAATACTGCATTTTTAAAACTATTCCAACCCTCTTCAACCCCCCTATTACTCATCTTTGCACTATCCCACCTTTCTGCCAATAGTCGCTTATATCTCACCCGAACTTCCTCCTCCCTTAGTTTATACACTTTCACCTCCCTCTTACTTGTTGTTGCCACCTTCCTCTTTTCCCATCTACCTCTTACTCTAACTGTAGCTACAACTAAATAATGATCCGATATATCAGTTGCCCCTCTATAAACATGTACATCCTGGAGCCTACCCATCAACCTTTTATCCACCAATACATAATCTATTATTAGATTATGTGTTCATTAACAGCTAAAATTTAAATTTCTTGCTTTATATTATTATTTGACTTATTATATTAGCTTTTATGTATAGGTAGGATGTAACAACTACACTTCTCATTGTGCTGTTGAATAGTGTTGATTTGTTGCCTAAACTTGCAGACTACCTGCTCGCTTGTTTAATGGTTCGTGTCAGGTACAAATCACCTGATGTCGAGTCTGCAGGCTTTGTTTAGGTCTCTTGTTGCTCCTTGTTGAGGAAACATCTTATTTCTCTGCTCTGTCAGCTTGAGTTTTTGATAGAATATGTCTCCAATAGTGAGCCGGGATATATGTCTTGTAACTCTGTGCAACTGTAGTTGTTCACAGAGCATTATTTAAACCTTGTGATATTTGACGTTTTCAGAGGTTGTGTGTCTTGGAGACACTACATCTCTGGTCCCAAGTTCAACTCTCGACCTACATTTGTTCTGGCATCTACTCACTGTCGTAGTCGGGATACTGGTAAATGCTGAACTCAATTTAAGTAATATGGGAGTTTTATGCTTTTGATGAAGGATCTGTTGAAGGTCTGCTGTTAGGGTCATTTTTATTTTTGTGCTGTTCACTTCTGCTTCGAGCATTATTGCTGTTTGCCGAATGGCTCATTATATTGTTCAAGGAAGCTGTTTGATTGTTTCGATGGTTCAGAAGTTAGTTTATTGAGGGAATTGTGGATGTGGATTTTCAGGTCACAAGAATCGAGTATTATCTGTTTGCTGGAAACACAAGATAAGAAGAAAAGAAACCTGATATGATTAATTCTTTAGGACTTTATCTCAACTCAGAAATGATTATAAGATGTCGAGGAAGAATTCATAGATGGATTTGATTCTAGGAATTCACTTTTATATTTCGTATAATCTGAATTAATTATTTCCAGACGCTGAGTAATTCCAGTTTTGCCTCAAGATAATCAAAATCTAGGTTTGGTTCTTGAGTTAACCCTTCACAGACTGAAATTAGATGATCTAATTATGTAATCTTAATCTGTAAGGAGTTAAACTGGGTACTCAAGGAAGCCATTGTACTTGAATATTGATAATTCTAGCACCACACTTAGTGTTTTCACACGACACTACTATAACAGCTGAGAGCTTGTGTCAGCAATATCTACTGACCCACTAACTGTGGCCTCAGGGTCAGTGACCTTGAAGGGTACAGGGTACAGATGACTGGACCTTGATGCCCGCTGTCCTGTGTTGATGCGGTCTCAGCTTGGAACACTGCTGAGTCACCATAAGTAATGATGTTATACACTTCATCCACTACATTTATATAAATGTCGCTGTATAACTGTATATCACACATGTATATTTCTTACACAAATATATAAATGTCACTGTTAATATATGAAAGCTTACTCTTTATATAACTTCCTTTAATATATAAGAGACAGCATAAGACACAGTCTTGTCTCTTAATCTGTGTCTATATACACACTATAACCACTGATAAACACTGTTGAGAAAGTTGAGAAAGTAGTATCAAGCAAGTCCATGGTCGACAGGAATATAATTGAATCTTGCATCATAAAAAGCAGTTTTGACAATAATATGAATATTTCCTTTGGTTTATATAAATTAGATCCATTTATAATTAATAGAATTTGGGAAGAATTTAATAATACACTGGACAAATAATCTTTAAAATTTCTTATTTCTTGGGTAGAATAGTTTGTGAGGTGAGTTGTGCCAAGGACCTATCCAAGTTGGGTCGGCGCACGTCAGGTGTTTAAACCGTTGTGGGATCTGATAGTGAGGTGCCGGCCAGACCCCTTATATAGCTTCCTTGGATGCTTTACTTTCATAGTTCCTTGATAATGTGAGTAGTCACGAAAGCGCTTGGAATTTCTTATTCTTTCAGAGTGGTTGTTTTGCATATTCTGAAATCACCTGTTTACTGTGATCTTATTGCATATATATATATATATATATATATATATATATATATATATATATATATATATACATTCAAGCAAGCTGGGTGCCATCTTGTGGAGAAATTTTCTCCAGGAGGGGGTATCAGCCCCCTTCAGCCCTTTCAGCCCCTTCAGCCCCTTTCAGCCCTGAGGGGCCAAGCCCTCTCAGAAGGGGCGAGCATCTTGTTTACTGCTACAGTGAGTAATTGATCACAGATGCTATGCGACGTAGTCAAGTGAC